CCTGCCTCTGCCTCCTGAGTGCTGGGATTAAAGGCATGCGCCACCACGCCCGGCTGGGATTTGCATTTCTAACAGACTGGCAGATGATGCCAGTATAGGCTTGTGACTCATACTTGAGTAAAACAGGGAACAAAAGAAATTCTTTCAGCTTCTTTTCATCATTTGGAGATCTGAGTTTGATGACAATATATTTTCTCTTATCATCAGAATAAAATCTCTATAAAATATACAACCGATCAGCACAACCGGTCATTTGGTTTCATAATCATTGTTAACAAAGGTGAAGTTACAGGTGTAATCTAAAAATAGCTTCTTGATGAATTACTTCATAATTGTGGCAAATTGTTTTTAGTTGCACTTTAGATTCACTTTTAAGTTCTAAAGATCTGCTCCTTAAACTTGTGACCATTCATTCAAAATAATACTATTTTAGACACTGAACATCCTTAGCACTGGAGGCAGGAATTACAAAAGTATGCTTGGCAGTCAAGTATCCTGACACCCCTGTTATTTCTTTTAATGAAAATGTTGCCTCTTTGAAAAAAAGACAAAAGCCAGTATACAGTGCTTAAAATAGGCATGCCCAACAATCTTATAAATTTGGTTACAAATTCAGAAAAGCAAGGCCTCAGAAACTAAGAGATCTGAGTTGGGTAAGTTAAGTTCAAGGGTGACAAGTGTTTTAACAGCCTGTTTATTTATAATTCCTTTCTCTTTATCTCCTAGACAAATTATGTTCTTAATCGAGAAAAAAAATCCTATCGAAAGCATTTATACTAAATCATGAATGACTAGCGAGACAGAGTTATCCTCCAAAGTCATACAAACAAGAATTAGTCTATTTTTAAGGCAGGGTCTCATGTAGCCCATGCTGGCCTCAGTCTTGTTATATGGTTAAGGATAACCCTGAATATTGATCATCTTTCCTTCCAGGTATATTCCAGGTATACACCACCACATACGGTTTATGCAGTGCTGGAGAGCAAACCCAGGGTAGGTGTTATATCCCTAGCCCCAAACAAGGATTCAAATGTCTTAATCTTCCTGTCTCTACTCAGCTTCAATTATTGTCTTTATATATGGAAATTTAGGTCCAACATTGAAATTCTTTCCTTTTTTAAAGTCTGGATTTTAATGTCTCATTTCTTCTTTTTTATTTCAAAATACAGTGTGGCAAGAAGTCAAATAGTGTGGACTACTTCATAGAGACTGCTGTCATGGCTGAACTTGAGTACTACACTGCTGTGTTAGCATCTGATTCAGAAGTATGTGATTTTGATGACATTTGGGGTGCCTAGGATGGGTGACCCATGGTGCCTTCCAGTGTCTCTGAAATTATCCACTGCTTGCCTGCTTCCAATTCTGCCAAAATGCCTGGGTCAGCTCTGGATGAACATTTTTTAAAATATTTTATTTATTATTTTTATTTTACGTATATGAGTGTATTGCCTGAATGTATGTGAGTGCACCCGTGTCATGCAATACCACGGAGGTCAGAAGAGGGCTTCGAATTCCCCTGGAACTGGAGTTAAGGATGGTTTGGAGCCGCCATGTGGGTGCTGGGAATCAAACCCAGGTCCTCTGCAAGAGCAGTCAGTGCTCTCAACCACTCAGCCATCTCTCCAGCGGACCATTCGTAGCTGCCATGTAGGTGCTGGGAATCAAACCCAGGTCCTCTGCAAGAGCAGTCAGTGCTCTTAACTGATGAGCCATCTCTCCAGCCCCATGGATGAATATTTTTAACAGCCCACAAGGGAAAATTTAGAGAACAGTCGATTTCTTTGACTGGACATCTATGAAAGCCACAATTACACTTTCCTGATCTGTCCTGGGCTTTAACACTGGGTATTTTCTATCGCTTGTCCCAGGCAGCTAAAATCTTCCCAAGTTTAAGATGATACTCTCTGCCTGGCAAGACCATTATAGGAAAATCACCAAACCACAAACCCACAAACTGATGTCAAACAAAGAATGTGACTGTAAGTATGAGTTATGGGTTCTGGCAGGACTTGTCAGGCGAGGAACAATCTGGCTGTTACAGAAATAAAACACGCCCTATCCATAAAGAAGAAGGCTGAGTCCCCCCTAGAAACAGCTTATGCTCCCCATTTTTCTCACAATTGCTCTTAAGGATTTAGCATGAGTTGTAAACCTCAGAAAACTTATTTCCAGAATTCAGCTTTAGGAAGATAGTTTTAAAAAAAAACACATGAACTTAATTTTAAAAGCATGCAAGCCCCTGCTGATGCTTACAGACAGAGGGACTATTTGAGGTTCAAACAGAGTTGTGTAACTCCTGGTTTATGTTGGTTTACTTAAATCTGAGCCTGGCTGAGCTGTTTCATTATCATTTGCTCCTCAATCCATCAAGTCAAAACTTTTTTGAAAGTAGGATATGTGCAGTGCACTGCTCATTGATCTTTAGCTAGTACATTATTATACTATAATTCAAATGCGATTATTTTATATAAGCATACAGAATCATACCCAATAATTCAAATACAGAAAATAATCTGATAGAGTAAAAGGTGACTATCCAGCATATCCAATATATGTATCAGAGTCACTAAAAGTGCCTAAAATATCCTACACCAATCTATTCCTGCCACATAATTATTATCAAAAATGCATTTTTAACAAAAGAAGCTACATATTTAAATAGCCTATTCTGAGGAGAAAGAGCATACGGTTTTATTAAAAATATTATATAATATATATATATTTATATATAAAGAGGATGCTCTTCTGTAGTTCAGTAGGAGATGGAAGTCATCTAGAAAGTGCACTGAAATCTCCATGCTAATTCACTGAAGGCCATCTATAAGAAATGGATATTGACAAGAAACACAAAGACATTAACTTCATGAGAGTAGATTTTAGACTATCTCAAAACCAGGTAACATATTAGTAAAATTTTAAAGTGAACAATCACATAAGAAAACCTCTTCATTGTCCAACTCCATACACCAAATCTACATGGAGTTTCTAGTGAATATAGAATCTTGTAGAGAACAGTTTATAGAGAATCTTCCTTGAGAAATTCCAGAATAATTTACAAACTAAGCGTGTTTTGTGATGCCCATTCTATCAAGGCTCCTTGACTTACAGGAGAATAGGAACTAACAAGTCATAGACCAGTACCCAGTCCATGGGTGCACCTTAGTAGCATTGCTTTAAATGATGCACTAAGATTTTTAAATTAACTTTTAAAGAATGGAAGAAGAACTGAGAATGCCGATATAGTTAGTTAAGAACCTAAGAACCATGGCATCACTAAAGAAAGATAGTTGAATTTCAACTTACAAGTACTAAAGACTCCAGTAGCTTTGGGGCTCTGTTGGTTGCCTTTCACAGCCACAAGGGTCACAGTGTACTCAGATCCAGGCTGCAGATTCCTCAGGGGGTATTTGAAGGCAGAGGGCCCCACATTGTACTGCTTAGGCTGTCCTCCTCGGGTCAGGCCCACTGTCAATCGGTAGCCTGCTATCCGAGCACGAGGTGGAGTCCAGGTCACCAGAACTGTTCTGTCAGTTTCATTGACGAACTGGAGGTTAGTGGGAGCATCCAGTTCTAGAGAAAAAAAGATAAAACAACATGTCAAGAAATGTTTAGGTCAGTATTTACCATGCTGAAATCCTATAGCTTGAGTAAATATTCAAAATTTTAGCCCCCTCAAGGTTGAAACCAAAACCAGAGTCAAATCCCTTGAAAACATGTAGCTCTCAAAGACAGTGTGATACAGAATTTTGCCAAAACTCTTGTGTTGCTTATGAGAAATTGTTGACCTTTTTCACTTGACTGTCATCCTTTGGATTGGCTAATTTTCCAGCAAGATTTTCCCATCACCCTCGGAAATTATAGTTACAGTATAGTGATGATATTTTTAAGGCAAAACAAACACTATGCAAACCCCACAATTTAAGCCAAAAAGGTTATGGGAAGGGTTAGTACAATAAAATGAAGGCAAGGAAAATTTCCATATGTGCTATAAACAACATTTTCTATATGTTTACTGAATGACTAGTTCTGTGCTAGGTAAATAAAAGCCATTTCACCTGGGGCAAATTACAATAATTAGAACATATTCTCAGACCCTCAGACCCATGGTAGGATGCCAGAGAGTTTGTTACTATCAGAAGGAACACAAGTTGTCAGTTTTCTTTTTGAGTATGAGAACTCAAAATTTCCCCACAGGAATTTAAAACACCTTTCACATAGAAGGAACCTTTGAGGGGCAGTCGAGGGCAATAACCAAGAGTACCATGGGCTTTGGAGTCAGCTCTAACACCTAGCCCTGTGGCCCTAACTGAAGAACTGAAAAAGGTTTCATTTCACCCATATCCAAAATGAGTAATCATATTTTCCTTTATAGGTTTAAAATAAAGACTAAATACAAGGCCAGTGCTTGTAAAGAACTGAGTAGATAACTTGGTTCCCAATAGCACTAAATGCTTAGTAATTATGTATTTACTTACTGTGGTGCCTCATATATGCTAGGCAAACATTTTACCCCTGAGCTATACACCTGTGTTCAGCAATCACTCTTCTCAAATTCTACTGTAAAGTGTTAAAAGACTACATTTCAACCTTGATATGGCTATATTTAGTTATACATACAAAAAATGCACTTAAGGGCAGGGATGCAGGTTAGTAGTGGTAGACCACTTTTAAATCCCAGCACCATGAAAGAAAGGGAGAAAAGAAGGAAGGCATTCAAATTACATGTCCATGTCCATTAGCAAAGAAAATTCATCATCTTTAAATTCCCCTTCTTAGTATCATTCCAGTGGTACACGCATGCTGGAAATGGATTACCACTTAGCAGTCACAAAGCCCAGTTTCACTCCTACCATCCACATTCCTCTGCCTGGAGGTTTTCTTATTGTTAACCTGTGAACCTGGGAGTGAGTAGCATGTTGCACTACATCACAGGTAGATCCAAGGGTGTAGAATTTAGGGGTAGAGCAAAAAGACAGATAGGAACAGGACATACTGGTTGTCTGTTGTGCAGTCAGAGGCTTGCTTTCCCTGCCCTGGTTCACAGCAAAGACTTTGAAGTAGTAAGTGACCCCGGGGGTCAGCCCAGTGACTTCTGCGAAGGTGTTCCTGCTGATGGGCAGTCTCTGCCCGTGTTCCCCAGGCAGATTGACAGGAAGGACATCCACACGGTAGCCGGTCACTGCGCTGTCCGGGGGGGTCCACATGATGGTCACTTTCACATCCGTCACTTCCACAAACTGTAGGTCCCTGGGAGGGGGAACATTATCTAGCAGAGAAGAGAAAACAGTCATTCACATTTCTACCAAAGGTCATTATTAGAAATCAGCTCCCTCCTCAACAACTTAGGCGCATCCTAGAGTCATTCGTTCTAGAGCAATACTAGGTCTTGTCTCTTAATCAGAAAATATACTTTTTGGGCAGACAAATTTCCAACACAAAAGTATCTTCAGAGTAGGAAGTTAAAACAAATATACATAAATAAAAACTGGATTTTTTTTTCTTTTTTTGGTCTTTTTGAGTTAGGGTCTCCCTGTATCCCCAGCTGGCCTGGAACTTGCTATGTAGACCAGGCTGACCTTGAACTCACAGAGATCCGTCTGCCTCTGCTAGGATTAAAGGTATGCACTACCACGCCAGGCTATTGGGGTGTTTTATTTTTATTTTGTTTATTTATTTTTTGTGTGTGCATGTATTGCCTGCAAGTAGGTAAGTGCACTGTGTCATGCAGTGCCCACAGAGGACAGAAGAGGCTGTCAGATCCACTGGGACTAGAGTTACGAACAGTTGTTAGTTGCCATGTGGGTGCTGGGATTCAAACCCAGGTCTTCTGCAAGAATGGTCAGTGTTCTTAACCACTGGGCCATCTCTACAGCCCTGGGGTGTATTTTAACTGACTTCTTTTATTGTACTTAAGAGCAACAGATTAAATGGTTCTTAAGTTTATGAGGAAAAACAAGACTTGATGGTGCTGATTTTAACATAACAGCTGTCTTTGGTAGATCCTTTTCTAAGGTTGACATTTCATCCAACCTTCAGAATTTTAGGAAAATGAGCACAGAAGATGACTAAACTGCAAGAACAGCTGACAGACACAAAACAGCTCTCCCTCAGGGCCGTGTTCATGGGACTTGCACTCTAGTCTTCCCAGAGGGCTACAGAAATAAATACAGTCCATGAAGGTTGTCCTTCCCAAAGAAGGAGTTTAAAGATGCTAGTCAGGGGGCTGGAGAGATGGCTCAGTGATTGCTGCTCTTGCAGAGGACCTGGGTTTAGTTCCCAGCAGCTACATAATGGCTCACACCCATCTGAACTCCAGGTTCGTGGAATCTGATGCCCTCTTTTGGCCTCTATGGGCACAGCACAAACACGGTACATACACATAGGTACAGGCAAAACATTCATACACAAGTAAATCTTTAAAAAAAAAATGCTAGTTGGAGCTGGAGAGTGGACTCAGCAGTTAAGAGCACTGACTGTTCTTGCAGAGGACCTGGGTTCAATTCCCAGGACCCAAAACATTCATACACAAGTAAATCTTTAAAAAAAAATGCTAGTTGGAGCTGGAGAGTGGACTCAGCAGTTAAGAGCACTGACTGTTCTTGCAGAGGACCTGGGTTCAATTCCCAGGACCCAAAACATTCATACACAAGTAAATCTTTAAAAAAAAATGCTAGTTGGAGCTGGAGAGTGGACTCAGCAGTTAAGAGCACTGACTGTTCTTGCAGAGGACCTGGGTTCAATTCCCAGGACCCAAAACATTCATACACAAGTAAATCTTTAAAAAAAAATGCTAGTTGGAGCTGGAGAGTGGACTCAGCAGTTAAGAGCACTGACTGTTCTTGCAGAGGACCTGGGTTCAATTCCCAGGACCCACATGGTAGCTAATAACCATCCTAACTCCAGTTCCAGGGGATCTGATGCCTTCTTCTGACCTCCGTGGGGCATTGCACGACACAGGTACACTTACATACATGCAGGCAATACACTCATACACATAAAATAAAAACAATAAAATATTTTTTAAATGCTATTTAGTCAAGCCCTAAGAGACAAGACATGAGGGAATGTTGATTGAGTTACCTGAGCGTGGGATGCCAGTAGTCTCTTGTTGGATGAAAACGGGTGTGCTTTCTTGGTTTTCTTCCACAGCGTAGATGGTGATGTTGTACTGAATGCCAGGTTGCAAGTCACTGAGGGTGACGGAGTTGGCGGTTTCAGGAAGGTTCAGTTCTGTGCTACTGCCTTCTACTGATGGTGAATAGACTATTCTGTACCCTGCAGGTTTAGGAGATGTTAGATGCATGGTCTTCTGAAACCGAGGCTAGACAAATCACATCCTTTCCTGTCTCGTGGCTCTCTGCATCTTGTTAAGAATTAACAAGATTCCTTCTGACTCAATATTACCACTGCTCATGAGGAGGACCAACTAGCACAAAGATAAAATAAGAACTGTCATGCAAATTTTAAATAACAAACATCATTCTTGAAGACTCACCATTCTTAATAAATGTCAGTTGTGATGCCATTAGGTAAAACTCTAGCTCACTGCTCTTGAAGCTCTGGGTGAGGGAAGCAATTAACGAGCCAGCCTAAGCACTATCTATGTCTTTTGCGAACTTCACTGATGAAGCTAAAGTGGAACTCAGCTCCTTCTTCAGCAGCAAGCTTCAGAGAGAGTCTCAGGAATATTCTACCTCCATAATTCTTGGAATGCTCGCTCTAATGAGCCCAAAGGGCTGGCTTTACAGTGAGTGTGTGTGTGTGTGTGTGTGTGTGTGTGTGTGTGTGTGTCCCCCCACAGGCATGCGCGTATGTGCACGCAGGAGAATGGGTCAGTAAATGGATTAGAGGGAAAATGATCCGTAATGAAGTAGGCCTGGAAGACTTGAAACTCCCCTCGAATCCTTAAATGGGAGATTTAAGGTGATGTGCCAGTCGGAATTTGCTTCCTCTACACTGTGCATCAAGAGTAACATAGAAAGAAGTCAAAGCTGACCTGTGATAGGTGCCTGGGGCCTGCTCCATCGAACAACAATCGAGGTGTCATCAACTCGGTCCACAGTAGGGTCAGGAGGGGCATCAGGTGCTAAGAAAAAAAAAGTCAGGCAGTGTTGGTACGGGTGTATACTTTATAGAAAAAGACCCCTGACATTTTTTTTTTTTCTTTTTGAGAGAGGGTTTTACTATGTAACCCAGACTGGCCTGGAATTCAAGCCCCTCCAGCCTTATCCTCCCAAAGCCTGAGATTACAAGCGTACTTCACCATGCAACCCACAAAAGAGATTCTTTCAACATCATTTCGTGCAGTCATACCTGTTGTCTGTGAGGTAGACAGGATCAAGCTCTGTTCTCCCTCTTCAGATATCTGATAGACGTTGACAATGTACTTTCGGCCAGGAAGCAGGTCAGGGATGCTCACAGAGGTGGCTGTGCTTGGAAGATCTTTGAAATAAAAGGAGAGGTTACTGGCCAGAGCAAATGGATCTTCCATGCCATATAAGAGTTCTATATTCATAGGGGGACTGGAAGGAGTATGCTAGTACATAGCCCGTAATTGCCACTGGAGATCCTTTCATTTTCCATTTCTCCCCTAAAGTGTATTCTTTTTAATACTCCCCTCCACTTTTTAGAAGATAGCTCTCTGTCAGAAGTCAGGGTAGTACCCTATTCACACAGGTGTGTTCGGCAGACTTTTTTTAATACTACATTTATTTGGGGATGGGGAGTACACTTGCCATAGCACTCAAGTGCAGGTCAGGGGACTGGAGGTCAGAGGACAATCTGTAGGAGTCAGTTCTCTCCTAACACCATGTGGTCCTGGGTATTGAATTCAGGTTTTAGTCTTGGCAACAAGAGCCTTTATTTGCTGGGCTCAGATACCTCATCGGCCTCATTAAACTTTTTAAAAAGTCCTTAACCACTGGGACTTGAAAAGCATATAAGAAGGCACAGTGCAGCCCTAAAAAGCTAATACTGTCAGCTGCAGGCTTCATTCCGGCATCATAAAACTAGTCCTTGCTGTATGGTCCCTTACGTGGATAAATGCAAACATCTTCAGAGACAAGGAAGGTGCTCAGGGAATTCCAGCCAGACCTAGAAGGATCCACCCCCCGCCTTCCTTTGATGGTGGAGAGTGGGTTCAGTCTAAGCTGTGGACTAGTTTCAGAAACTAGTTCTGATGCCCTCTCCCACACCGAGTATCTGCCAGTCACCCCTCCAATTTATGCCGAGCCACACAGTCAGCTCACCAAGGTACTGTGGCTCATCTCCCTCCTCGCTCAGCTCATACTCCACCCGGAATCCTGACACAGTGTCCGAAGCTGAGACCCAGGAGACCACAAAGCTGCTGGCTGTGATTTCAGTCACAGATTCAGAAGTGGCCACCACAGGAGAAAAGGGTGCCGTCTCTCCTGTCACTGTGTTGCCTAGAGAAAGGGGAAAGATAGTTGTCAGTTATCTCGAACACCCACACTCTGTCTGCAGAGGACTGTTAAAAAGAAAATACAGGTGCCATTCATGAAAAGCAGTGAGCTGAGAAGGAGAGCACTTCCTTCGGGGAGGCTACCCCAAGCTACTTGGGCATAGCCCTGAAGATGCTGGGTACATACTGGTCACAGGTGTGGTGGTACTGGTGGTGAAGTCGAAACGAGTCACTTCTCGGTGGCCATACTGTTGGATGCTGATGAGCTGTCCCTCATATATCACACCTGGAGTCAGGCCTTTAATGGTGTAGGAGTTAAGGTGGCCTGGAATGGTAGCTTCCTTCCAGCGGCCCACTGGATTTTTCTGAAATTTTAAATTGAAAGGAAATATCACACAAGTGTTGAAAGGGACAAACATTCCAAGATGGTGTTCAGTAATCTGCAAAGAATGGAGGCTTTTCTCTGCTCCAATTTGGAAGAAAGTCATGAAAACTAGTCAGAATAGGAAACCCTAGCTGAGTTTGTGGATGTTAATGCTTATTGTTATTATATTTCTCAGTGTGTCATGTGCCACACTCCAGGCTGTTTTGCTTGTTTTCCTCACTAATCTTCATCTCCCTGCTTCCTGCCAAAGGCAAAGAGTATTGCTGCTCCCATTTTACAGGTAGAGAAACAGTGTTAAGTGAGGTGCTCCGAGTTACACAGTTGAGGTACTAAATATCTTCCTTATGGCCAATAACTGAATAATTTAATACCAGGACCCAAAGTTGGCCTCACTAATTTTTCTGCTTTTATGATAAAAGAAATGTGTTTCTCTCTGAAAGGAGAAAAGACCACACACTGTCTTTTAATTCAGTGAGACAATGGAGCCGTGATAGTTCATTGACTCAGATCCTGGGGCCATCACAAACAAGGTTCAAGTTGTCTGGTTTTGTGACTCATCCTTGGAAACCAACAACCCATCAAGAGTGGTTAACCAACTTTGGGAAAGAATAGAATTCAGTTTATTTAATCTTTTCCTTCCAGTTTACATTCTTACATCCTGTCCAACTTCATTAATATGTCACGGACCACAGAACTCATGGCAATAAATTGTGCAGAAAAGACCTCCCTCTCCCCAACTTCAAACAAGAAATCCTTTTAAGTGTAAATAATCTAAAGCGGTTTCAGTATCAAATACATTTTTATGCCAATGATTTTTTAAAAAAATTATTCAATCAAGCAATTTCTCCTGACTTCAAATGTTCAAGTACCCGTTTATATTTTGGAGATAAATGAAAGCAATCCCAGTACTCTAAATTTAAGTTTTAACTCAAATATACTGAAAGAAATTAAAATTAGCCATTGTTAGATTAAAATTAGCAATAAGCTTTTAGCTTTTTAGTAGCTATCAGAAGAAAATAACTGAATATAAACTCAGATGGCATATACTTAAACAAAAAAAAAAAAAAGAAATTGCTGCAAACACAAGGAGCTGGGGATGTAGCTCAGTTGTTAGAGTGCTTGCCTAGCATGGACAAAGCCCTAAGTTCAGTCTCTAGCATCATATGAATGGCATGTAATGACCCACACCTGTAATCCCAGCACTCAAGATGTTAGGCACAGGAGGATCAGATGTTCAAAGTCATCCTCAGCTCCATTGGAAGTCTGAGGCCAGTCTATATGAGACATTGTCCCAAAAAACAAACCAAAACAAAAACTCAAAGAAATTCCTCAATTTTAAAGATTTTCCAAATGAATGCTTATTTATTTGTAAACATTCCTATTTGTAGTAGCTTTGCAAAACACTTCAAAGTTTAAAGTAAATAAATTGGTGATGAGATTAAATGATGAGGAAAGACAGCAGGTGATGGAGAAAAGAAGACCACTGATTCAGTTGACAATATCACCAGATGTTAAGTTCAGAGACTGGCTACTCAAGACCACAGATGTCACAATGAAGGTGAAGAAAAAGAATGATCTTAAGAGTTTGACTTTTTCCTGAAGACTTTATGTTCAACTACATGCGTTAGTCAAATGTTTTTGTTGTCTTGGATAATTTAGAATTGGATAGGTTTGATTTAAAACAAACATTTTTTTTCCTTCCTAAAATAGTGTTTTATAAATTATGTCATGAACGTTAGAGATAGAAGAGGGCAGGTTTGAGAAGGGAAGAGAAAAGAAAGAAAATTAGGGGCTGGAGAGATGGCTCAGCAGTTAAGAGCACTGGCTACTCTTGCAGAGGACCCAGGCTCAGTTCCCAGAACCCACATGGTGGCTAACAACCATCTGTAACTCCAGTTCCAGAAGAATTGGAGAATCCAATGCCCTCTTCTGACCTCATCGGGCATTGCACAGCATGGGTGCACTTATACACATGCAGGCAGAACACTCATACACATAAAAATAATAAGAAAATTAATATGGTTTCTTCAACTTCTAGATACCTAGAAAATTCTGAGGCTCATTCTTTAAAATAAACCAACTATCATTCCTTAGTGTCACCTCCTACTCTGTCTAAATAACTTTAGAGAACCAAAAGTGTGTGTGTATGTGTGTGTGTGTGTGCGTATGTGTGTGTCTTTTTTGTTTGTTTCTGAGACAGGGCAGCCCCATCTGGCCTGAAACTTGATATGTAGACCAGGCTGGCCTTGATTTCACAGAGATCTACCTGCTTCTGCCTCCAGAGTGCTGAAATTAAAGGCATGTGCCACAACAACTGATCAAAAATACTGTTGTAAAAAATAATTCCTCATGAATTGAATCAAAAGGGAATGATATTAATTTAGTTATTTTTCAAATAATGGAAATAATGCCAGTAATTTTTCCTTTAATGGCGTTGTAAAACATACCAAAAATTTAAATTTTCTTTCCACATTGGATTAGAGCAGTTATAAGACCTTTCTAACATAAAGATCTAATTTCTTCTAAACATAAAGAAAAAAAAATGACCCCAAATCTACATGTCAATTTGATTGACCACATATTGACTGTTCACTAAGAAAATACAAATACATTTAACACTAAGTCAGATCTGTTAACTCAAAAAGCAGAAATAAACCAACCCACACTGCCCCCCCATCCTGATCCAGTAAAATCAAGAGTCTCAGAGTTCAAGGTTTCTGAGTAGATACTCACAGGTCTCCACCTGAGAATGTACTTAGTGATGTGCGATGGCTCTGGTGCATTCCACTGGATGGGGTGGGAGTTGGGCTGGCTGGGGGTCTCAGTGATAATTACTTGGACAGGACCAGAAGTGCCTGAAAACAAAAATGTATGATTTAGTTATCTTGTGTATATTTTCACTGAAACTTAAAGTTTATTGTACATGGATGGCCATCATTAAAGACTGCTTATTAGTAAACATGGGTACAATAAAAAATGATTAACTTAGCTAAACTTTTTACATGCTAACATTAAAAATCAAGACACAGATCTTATTTTAGTTGACACTTGTTGTCTTTCCCATAAGAAATGCAAATAGGATTTTTTCTAATAAATAAAAAGAAATTCAAATGTCTCAGCTTATTTTTTTCTGTTGTCAAAGAATTGTGAGACTATTGTGAAATTTCCCTAATACAAACAATGTAATTCAGAATGCAAACCTCATATACTAATTACACTTTAATTAGGCCTCTTTTAAGGCAAATTCTAATTTATGAAGGTTGTCACCATGAATGAATCTACTAAGAAGGAAATAACATTCCAAAGGCCATATGACATGATGTAAAACAAACATTTCTAAATGGGGTTGAATCTTGGACAAATAGACAAAGGTAATAATTAAAGACCCGGATTTATTGCCCATCGCTCTAAACTTTCTATCAGTTTGGAAAAAGAAATTTGGTTTTTCTATTAAGTATACTCTTAAGGTCACCCATTGTTCAAAATATTAAGAGAACAAGTATTCTCTTTCAAAAGCAGTTATCAACCAAAATGACATATTCTGAAATGTATACCAAATTCAATATTTTCACATCTTGATGTATATGACTTAATAACAAAATTTAAAACACAGATTTGGTTCTTTTGTTTGAAAAAAAGTAAAACAAGAGAAGGGAATCCACTTCTTAGTACAGCAGACTCTATTTAGGGCAATAATGACACAGTGCTGAAAAATTCGTTTACAGAACAGAAAACTATCTTCTCTGCTCTTCTTCTTTATGATGTCAATCAATTATTCATTTGTAGAGATTCCTTATAATAACCTAAGAATAATAATTTCTCATTGACATTCTGTCAAACAGATCAAATTTTTACATGTTTGATAAAGCACCATTTTATACTTAACAATTTTCTGAATGCTCTTAGGAGAGATATATGGATTTTCAAAGTTAATTATTATCTCAGAATTCTCTTTGAAAACAAAATTTTCTCTAGCAGAACAAATATGCAACTTACACATTTGGATGAACTAAAAGATTTTAGAATAGCATACTTCTGCTTGGGAATAATTCAAAGTTTGTTGAAGACTAACACATTTATTGAATCTTTATATCAACACACACATTTCCAAGACAAATGAATGTCAAAATTCACATATAAAACTCCCAGCTTTCCATTCTGAAGGGGCATATATTCCATGGAAGACATAGGTTGGTCCTATGATCAACAGGTAAAAGTCAATTCCATGGCCCTCTAGAATCACCCCTTCTTTCCATTCATGAAGCTCCTCACAAATGTGAGTACATTTAAAACGAATATTTAAGCAAAACTGTAAAGAATTAAAATTTTAAATACTACTTAAAGTGGTTCCATAGAAACCAATTAAATAGGAAATGTGTCCTTATGATGATCTGCATAAGGTTGTCAAATTTGATACTTTAAAGAAATCCTATTGTAATCTCATCTCACCTACATTTTATTTAGTGTCAATAGTGGCTTTGAAGGGGAAAAGCTTATGGTGACTCAATCTCTTTGAAAAGTAAGTCTACAATACAAATTATCTTTGCTCTCCACCTTTAATCATACTCCACAAGGACCAGGAAGAGGAGGAAAGGGAAGGGAAAAAGGAAAAAGAGAAGGGAAAAAGTTTTTCTCCAAGTGAAGCAGACCTACAGAAGCCTTCATTTCCTTTCGCAGACTCCTCCACAGGTCTGAATTCCTGTCTTTTAAAATTCAGGCTGATCATACAGTCCACCTTTAAGGGGACTGCACTAAACAGCAAAGGCGATTTAAGACATTTTTGTTCAGGGATGAAGAAACTGTGTCAGTAATTTTTTAGGTCAGTTAAATTCCAGCTCAATTACACTCTGTATTCTACCACATACACATAATTTGATGACAGGAAAGTTGAGAGCCCGGGTGTCATTTATATGCCTTAGATTTAAATTTTTCACCATCCTTTTGATACTGGTTATTGGTATCACTTTTTCAATGATCCTTTCTGGTGTACACTGGCATTTACCACTGTAAGACTTCACATTTTGTTTTAGTCAGTCTCATCAAAGTAACATAAATCATTGTGTATGACACAATGTCTACACTTCAAAATCAGGTCAGAACAGGTCATTTCTGATAATGGTGACCCTGAAGAAGTTAAACATTCATGGTGTTTTGCCTCAGACCTTTTTCCTCTACCTAATTTGCTGAGAGCTCTGTTTTCCCAGTTGCTTATTGACAAACCAAATGCCTGTTATCTTTTGTTAGTTTGAACAACTCTACCAAGTCCTCAGTAGGAAGAACAAACAGGGCAAGGCTCAGACACAATCCATCAGTAATCTGTTGTTCCTTTATGATTCCCATTAGGCATGGGCCACTGAGGGAAGCCACAGAGATAAGCAACAATCAGTGTCTGGGGTCAAGCACTCATCTCCTCTCCCTGAAATCTCTTCTGTGTTCAATGCGCTTTTGATGTTGCCCTTTTTAGAACTAAGAACAAAGTCAACAGGTAAAATTCCAACCAGAAGGACTCCTTTCCATCCAACAGGACTACCTCGATGCTTTCGTTAAGCAGTTACATGGATAGGTTTCTTTTAAAAGAGAGAGAAAAGGTCTCGAAAGTAAGCAATTTTCAAAATTGCTCTATCCACAGTCATCATAAGCATAAAAATAAGAGTATTTCTGTAGAAGCTTCTATCTTTGCTTATAACATTTAAAAAACCAACTACCCTACTAATATATTCTTTGGATTTACAGCTCATCTATAATCAGATTTAAAACTATATTAAATTAACCAAGCATAGTGGTATATCATGCCTGTAATCCCAACACTTGAGAGATGGAGGCAGGAGGATCAGGAGTTCAAACAACGAAACAACTATATTAACTCTTTTTAAAACTGTTAAGTGACTCTTAAATCTAAGTCTAATAAGAAATACAACTTAAGAGGCAGGTCACTCAATGCCATAAACCTGTGAAAGCTGTCACCTTTCTTAGCACTAATAGTGTCTCGGGGTTGGAAAGAGCAAAATGTTTCAAGTTCATAAAGAATATGCTTATGGGTATTTGGGGTTCTGGATCACATATTGTTAGAGTGTTAAGGGCTAGAAGGAATTTTAAAGGTAATTGGCTACAGTGTGCCACTGTACAGATGAAGGAATGGAAGAGTGAGGCTGACTTGGGTCTCCTTAACAGCATAATCAGACAGTCAGAGGTGGAAGCCAAGGCATTACTCACATCACCTTTAGCCACATGGTTCCCAGAGATCATTCTCTAGGATAGTGAATCTCTTACAGTGATTAATTTAACCCTAATCTTTCATCTTAACTTTCATGAAGTTAATTTAATATTTTCTATAACATGCAGATCTTGGCATGCCCCCTTTCCTGAAATTGTTTTTTTGTTTTTGTTTTTATTTTCTGATACAAGCCATGTTTTATGTCTAAAATTAAGTCTAGCAAGATGGCTTAGTGGATATAGGCACTTGCCACAGAAGCCAGGAGACCTGAATATGATCCCCAAAGCCACCTAAAGGTGGAAGGAGAGAACCAACTCCACAAAGTTGTCCTTTGATCTCCACGTATGTACCATGGCACATGCTCCACACACATCATGCACAGACACACATATGATAAGTTAAAAATAAATAAATGAAATTAATGGAAATCTTAGAGTGTTTGCTGAAATAGCTGTCATAATCCAACATGGGTCATTATAGTCACTCAGTGAATTTTAAAGATGTTTCTCTCACAAATGAATTAAGAATCCCTACAGCTAGACAAGATGTCTTTGTGACCTAAAAAAGGCAAAACAGCAATAAATACTTTGGGGTGTTTGAACTGCGTGGGCAGTAAGTTGACCAAGTTACTCAACTCCAGATACTTTGCTCCACAGTCCATCTCACTAAACAAATGACATATGACACAAAGAGGGCTTCGATGGCAGTGAACACACGCCTACCTCATACATCACTTCATGCCCTCCCTCTGTGAAACTGTGGCTTAAGAACAAGAATGTAAAACCCTCAACCTTTACTTTCAGCCCAAGTTTCCTTATGGCTTCTATTTCTATGTTTAAATGAGATAAAATGAGGTAGGGCGTTTTCACCTAAAGGAATAGTCTACAATGCCAAATGCAAAATTGAAAGCACCTTTTCATAGCCTTTAGTACCTGTTCTTGATGGAGAGCAGAGGAAGGAAAACCATTTTAGTCAAAAATTTAAGAGACACAAAGAAGGAAGAGACAGAGAAGGACCCCCAGCTTGGGCTCCAGTATATTAATGTACACTGGTGCTTTCCCATTATTAACACCATCCACAGTTTAGTCCTAGGTCTCGGCACTGCTTACCTGCGTAGGTCTGCAGAGGCTGGCAGTGCCACTCTCCAATGCCACGGCCGTAGCAGTAGCACTGGTATCTCACACCGTGTACAAACTTCTCCCAAGAGTCACCAATCTGGTAAAACGTCCTGGTTTCTGAATCCTGGCACTGGTCTAGAATCCACACAAGGAAGAGATTAAAATAGCCTCAAAGACTTAAAGCAACAGACTTAACTGTAGTGATAGATCATATGTTCTTAAAATTTTGAACAAAAACTTGCCACTCTTCTTAGGAATATATGGAGTTAAAGTAGTATTTGTGGGTATATGTGTATGGCGTTGTGTATGTGTGTAGTGTGTGCATATGTGCATGTGGATATTTGTACATGGGGGAGGGTCTGAGTTCTACTTCAACTCAGTCACTCTCCATCTTTATTTTTTGAGGCAAGGTTTTTCACTGTACCTAAAGCTCATCAATTTGGTTAGGCTGCTTAGTGAATGGGCTTCAGGGATCCACCTGACTCTATCCCCCAAGATTGGGGTTGTAGGCACCAGCTGCCATGCCCAGATTTTTACAATGACTTTGGGGAACCAAACTTGGGTCCTGTGTTTTTATGGCAGGTACTTTGTTGACTGACCCATCTTCCAAATCTTAACATAATATTTTGTACACATCTTTACCTTAAAAGGAAATTAGTAGTAAAAAATAAAATGTACCTATTGGGAGGCATATTTAGTTTTTTAAAAACAAATTCTAATTAAAAATGTAAAGATTAAAATTTCAGTATATATCGATAGTATGAATATTAAATTTTAAAAATTAGATACTGCATTTTACCCACATCAGTGAAAATAATTTACCATTTGAATAGCAAGGAAAAGTTCCACGATGACTTCATTTTATATATTGCTTCAAAATTCAGGAGCCAGTTTTACATTAATTAATGAGTTATATTTTAAGTATGAGTTGCTTCTAAGAAAACCCCTTAGGCTCTGCCAGGACAAACAAATTACTAGGATCAGTTTGTTTTCTCAATGAGCAACAACCTGCCTGCTTCAGTTCTTCAGTAAAGGAATATTAATTGATTATATTAAACACTGGTTTCTGGTAATATGGTTCTTTTAAGGCTGAAGCTTCATTGTTTGCTCAGCTCTATCTACAATAATAGCCAAAAAGGTGTTTCAGAGGGAGGTATTTACTGACAGTCCTATGCCTGTGGTCAATAAAAGAAAGTTCCTTTTTTATTTCAGAACCGAAGAACTAACTCCACTCAAATGAAATAAAATGACACTTATCACCAAATTCAACAGGAACAAAAAGATGATGGACAGCACAGAGATTATACCCTTGGCCCCTGATGAGAGAACGCAACTTTACAAAGCTCTCTGCAGACCAATGAATCAAGTGAAAGAGTAAATTCAGCCTGGCAGCACATCCAAAGCTGGCTAACCATCCTACATGGCAGCTAAAACCATCCCAGCAAAGGCAGCTACTTACCGATAGGGTCACACTTCCATCTGCCCCGACCCTGACCAAAGCAGGTACAGTTCAGCATGTGTCCCTCCTCATGACGTTTGTGGAATGTGTCGTTCACATTGTAAGTGATGTCATCAACAATGCACTGATCTGTTCAGGAAACAGTTGGATAGGTGAAGAACTTTCACTGATGAAATATTAAGAAATTTTGTTTTTCAAAATCAAGGTCTACTAAAGTACCTTTTCTACTGGCATAGGATACACTTTATCCAAGCTTAATGATACAACTTTTGCAACTTCCCTATTGTGCCTTATAGACTTCTAATTGTCAAGGATCATGGTCTATACAACTAAAAATTGTGTTAATATAGCTTCCTATAAAAAAACTAATTTTACAACAAATGTTTGTTTCACTTAGTTAATCATTTCATTTAAATTTTTTAATATTTTATTATTTCCATTTTATGTGTATGAGTGTATCGCCTGCATGTATGTAAGTGTACCTGTGTCAGTGGTGTCAGATTCCCCTGGAACGAGAGTTATATACAGAGAGTTGTTAGCCACCATGTGGGTGCTGGGAATTGAACCTAGGTCCTCTGTAAGAGCACCCAGTGTTCTTAACCACCGAGCCATCTCTCCAGCCCCTCATTTAAATTTTTGCTTATCACAAGATGATTGGAGAAATTTATGTAGCATATAGCATGATGTTGTGGTCTGCTTTCTGGAATAGGAAGGAGGGAAAAAATATTTGTATTGGGGAAATAAAAATGACATCTACGGTGTTTGAGAAGTTTTTTTAAAAAATAGGTTAATTTTATCCTTCATTCTCCTGAGAAGTCCTGAAAAAAAAAAAAATCACAAAACATTGTCTCAGGTCCCCACTTTCTCATCTATAAAAAGAGGGGTTGTTTTGCACACTGTATTAAGGTTCCTTTCAGCTCTGCAGTATCCTAAGTAATAACAATTACTTGTAGACCGCTTTACCCATTGAATTCCATAAAAGCAGTAAGTCCAGGGCAGCATCTATAGACTAGCTATGTGGACTATTTACCACATAGCTCAGAGTTCTACCTATTACTTTTCAGTCAAAGAAATGGAAAACTGAAATTTTTTTTAAATAAAAACAACTCATAATATTACATATCTGAGTTCAAGGGGGAAAAACTAATTTGAGCAAAGGACATTAATTGTTCTAAGTATTTGTCTTCCTAAATTTGGCTCTGCAAGGATCTGGTGTTTGAAGAGCCAAGACCTTTTCCTTTACAGAAATGATCTGATCCTTTCTAGACATAAATGCATGGCATAACCTAATGGCAAAAGGATGGTGGGTGCCCTACACTTGGAAGTCACCCTTTGGCTTGCCCTCATCCTGGGAAAGTTTCAGAACCCGATATACTAGACTCACTTGCCAGCTTTTCTCAACTGGCTGCTGAGAATGAAAAACTTTGTTTCTCAACTCTTGGCAAGTACGTTTTCACATGGATGCCTGTCTCCCTGTTCTCTGAAATATCTTCATCAGTAAGGCAGCATACCTCGGAGCTGGGAGTAGGCGACACAGGTCCATTCCCCACGACCGTTCCCAACACACGTGCACCTCATCATGTGGCCCATGTCATGCTGCTTATCCCACTGATCTCCAATGCGATACATGACCCCTTCACTGGTTGTGCAGATCTCCTCATGGGCTATTTAGAAGTAGATAAGAAATACACTTGATAACTGATCGCAAGGTCCAAACTAATATGCATACAAAGTTATCAGTCTAATTTGGTCATCCTAGGAACTTGGGAAGAAGCCTTGCATGCCTCAGAGATACCTAAGAGCTGCTGGGTGGAGGTGGAGAGTTTCAAACTTTCTGGGGAGGAAACACAGTCCAAAGGTGAAATACAGGAAGGAAATGTAGGAAGGGCTACAAAATCTAGACTAAGGTAACTCCATACATTCATCCAATTGATTCCCATTGAGCTACAGGACTGGATTTGACAACAGCTGCATAACTTTGCCTATTCCAATTTATTCTAGCTCAAAGGAAAGCTATGGGGTTGAGCACACAATTGTGAGTTAAAGTGACTCTCCATCCTAAAAGAACCAACGTATCTTTTGTTGAAATGAGAAAAATGAAAGCGTAAAGTGTTTCCTTGCCTGTTATCCTGCTTCTACAACTGGAAAATTGAATGTCATCTGAAGGGCTCTTGAAATTTGAAAGCAAAATAACCAGTACCGGCTTCCTCTTACTTTCATTCAGGTAAACTAGGGACTTAACAAAAACAATTCTGTACCTGTCAGAAAACAAATTTTCTGACTTGTTTTGATCATTTTGGTACTTACTAACTGCAAGAGCTGACGCCAGTCAAACCGATCATGTATCAATAAGTGTAGGTCTGTTATTGACAACCACAGTCAGGTTATTTTAAAGATACATCTTTGTGATTTATATTCATATACTTATGAAATTTTTAAAAGTATTTTGTGTTTGAGTTTTTTATATTTAATCATGTCATTGGACTTGATTAATTATGTGTTTATTTATTTATTATCTATCTTTGAAGCAGGGTCTTACTATATAGCCCTGACCGATCTGATATTCACTATGTTGACCAGGCTGGCCTTGAACTCACAGAGATCTGCTTGCCTCTGTCTCCCAAGTGCTTGGGATTAAAGCTCAATGGGATTTTAAAAGCATACCAATAATCATTGCTATTGGTAAACAGTCATCTGGATTTATATAAGACATAATACACACACATTACGCATTTTTCTTTTTCAAACTATGTTAAGAAGAAAAGTAAGAATAAGAGGCCACTAATCTATCTTTGCTCCATAAGTGGTGGTCCATATAGATAACCCAAAGGGCTTCCTCTCACCAGCCATAGGGCAGAATCCAAACTTCTGGTCAGCATCATAATTCTGAGTAGTTCCACACCACTTCATGTTGTCCCTCCTGCCCTCAGAAGTACAGTCGGTGTAATTGCGGTTGTTGTACAGGAAGGGGAAGTGGCATAAGGCACCATTGGAATTTCCACCTCGAGTCTGAACCAAAACTACACAAGACAACATACAAATAGGCAGATTACGGCTGAGCTTTGGAGTGTACCGTGGGGATTGACTATGAAAAAACTTAGAGCCAGGTTCCTGCTGCTAATTCCCAGAGTGCCTATCCCAGAATAAAAGATATGTTAGTATAGTCCTAAGCTTCTTAGAGGATTTTCATCTTCACCTTCAAAATAGATTTAAATCTCATGTTCTCTCATTTTCCCAGCCAAGAAGGGGAAAAAAAAAAGACTAAATGATAGCTTTGTGTAAAATACGGTTTTAACCAGAAGATAAGCAAAGGCACTACTCAGACATTTCAATCCTGTGTGTTCGGGGGCTCTGTGGAATCATCCACTGATGTCAATATGTGAGTGTCTTTAATCATATCATAATCTCTATGAGTCAAAATAATCAAACCTCAGGGCTTTTCCTTTGGTGTCATTTCCCAGTGGTGCTGAGAGACATGGAAAGAGCCTCTGCTGCAGAATTACACTGTGTCTCTCGGGTCCAAACAGATCAAAAGTGAGTTTCTTGAGCAGCCTCACAATTAATGATTTGCCTGCTAGCAAACAGAAGGGGTTTTCCTGGTTGCTCTGGTTCTCCTGGGACACTTACCAGTGTGGTCTGTACAGAAAGAATACTTCTGGTCCTGCTCGTAATTTGAAGTCGTGCTGCACCACAGATGTCCATCTTGCCGCCCTTCTGTGGTACATGAGTAGAAGGTCCTGCCATTGTAGGTGAACGGGAGGACACAGGGCTCCCCATTGGAATTGCCACCGTAAGTCTGGGTCACAGCTACAAGCATAACCAAGAGTTTCAGTCAAAAGAGCTAATCCTCCCACCAGTGGTAGCACATTTCTAATTTAAATGAGACTGGGTTTGGGCCATTGAAGGATCAAGCTGGGAAGACAGAGAATCATCTGGTTAATTTCAGTTAAAATGCATTACTGTTTAGGATTAAGCCATGGCCCTAAGCTCTTGTTAATGCCACTGATCGCCACTTCTGCTTCCATGACTCAGTTTCTCCATTTGTAAATCTATATTAATACATGTAAATTATGGATCAAATGATGGGGAGATATGCATGCTTATGTTTGGGTCATAAGAAATAGTATGAGGGTATTCTAAGAAAATCTTTTTTCTTTTAGAAATATTTTATTAATTAGTTGAGCGTTTCATACAAAGTATTTTGATCATACCCCTTCCCCCAGCTCCTTCCAGAGCAAACCCCCATCCCCACCTTCCCAACTTCATGTTCTCTTTTTAGAAAAAAAAAATTAACAAGTTTGAAATGCTTGTAGCTCAGAAGAAATGCCTTGGGTTGTTGAAAGCCATCTATAACCCAAAGCCACTGAAAATTGAAATTTAGAGCGTTTCATACAAAGTATTTTGATCATACCCCTTCCCCCAGCTCCTTCCAGAGCAAACCCCCATCCCCACCTTCCCAACTTCATGTTCTCTTTTTAGAAAAAAAAAATTAACAAGTTTGAAATGCTTGTAGCTCAGAAGAAATGCCTTGGGTTGTTGAAAGCCATCTATAACCCAAAGCCACTGAAAATTGAAATTTAGAGTACCTTACTAGGGATTCAGATACTAATGATCTTATACAACATTTCTGACAAAAAAATAATACAAAGCAGTTTGAGCCCCATGATAGGGAGAAAAGTGTACAAATTTTAAAAATTGGAAGAAAATATATCAAATATTATGCTTTCCATCACAGAGAAGTAAGGTTATAAACTTTTATGGTTTCATTGCTTTACTGGTTTTTTGTTTTGCTTTGCTTATTTTTCTGAGACATGGTCTTACCATGTAACTCTGGCTGGGTTGAAGCTTGTAATGTAGACCAGGTTGGCCTCCTACCTCTTCCTAACTTCGCTTGCCTCTGCTTCCCCAGTGCTGGGATTAAAGGTATATACTACCATACTGGCTTGCTTTATATTTAAAAAAAAATAAATATGACATTGCAAAAGGTAAACATAATAATGAATTCACTGTTGTGACTGTTTGCAGAAATAACTCATACCTGTCTCCTGACAGCTGACTCCATTGCCCAGGCAGGTGCAGAGCATTTGCTTATTCCCTTGTGTCTTCAGCCACTGCATCCCCACAGAGTAGACCACACCACTATCCGTGACACAGTGGCCGTATGGAGCAGGCTGGGGGTGAGTCTGGGGTTGGTAAACAGCCGGTCGAACTTCTGTATAGGAGCCCGATCCTAAGAGCATGGAAGTCATGAAATTAGAAAAGAGAAGTCATGAGGTCTGGAGTCTCGGCCTTCGGGATCTCACAGGCATCACTCTGAAATCCACATCATTACTGACTTGGAACTTTAAGAAATGTTCCTCCCATTCCAAGTTTCAGCTTTTGCATTCAGCCCAAGAAGTCATCCATAAGACTGTACCAAATAGTCTCACTTGAGCTACCAGCATAAGATATCTAAGTGACAGACATTATTCTGCACACAACCGAGCAGATACTTCCAACAAACCCTCATCAGGCCAGGAAGCTTGTGTTCAAGGAGCTCACAATTCTCCATGGCGCCCTTCCAACTGGCTTCTGGTCTTTCTCATCCTCACTCTAAGCCTCCGTCCACTGACCTGCTCCTTTATTCCTGGGTGCTATGCTTCTGTCTTGCCCTCACTGATCTCCCTCCACCTGAAGTGGTCTGCCTTCTTTTTCCTCTCTTACAGCTCTCATAAACTCAACATGCATGGGCCTTCCTCTTCCTGAGAAACTCTTCCAGTCAAAAGCAGACATCCTGTCTTCCCTGAAACTATGCTCACTGGAGGGTGCCCTAAAAGGTATCCCTCTTCCTGTATTTTCTCAGCAGAATTATTTGTAGTGTGTGTGTGTGTGTGTGTGTGTGTGTGTGTGTGTGTGTGTATTCCTAAAACCAATCAGTCCTCTTTAGAAAAGTTTCTACTGATAATAATAACAGAATGTGCCATCTCTTGGAACTTTTGGAAATCTGTCTTTCCGAAGCCCACACCCTTTCAGCATCATTGAGACTGACAGTGGAATGACTGATCAAGTGAATCCAGCATCATCCTCAGTGTTGTTGAGCACAAGGACCCAAAGATGCTTCACAAATAGAGGATGTCAATGGGGTCAAATACACTGAGGAGTCAGCCCTGTCTCCACGCAGTGTGCCTCATGAGTCACAATGCAGAGGAACGTAAAGGCACATAGAACAGGCTGTGTTAAGTGTTTTTCAAACCCTTTTGAACAGTGAAATATCTCAGTACATTAGTAACATCATCAAAGTAGTTACTATTTATTGTTCTCCCTGTTTAATTCCCAAATTAATCCTTAATCTATTTCAGTAGATTGATATTTGTAATTTCGTTTTCTTTCTTTTCTTTTCCTTGCTTTGGTCAACAGCTATTCTACTAATGATAATCAGTAAATAATGTAGATACCATCAAATCTAACCCTGCTTGCTTTCATAAGTATTTGGTCAGGATAAAATGTCATCTAAAGAAGAAAAATCTAATTAATATTCAATAAATAATTGCTTGCTTAGAGGCGAAGTAATAAGGCTGGAGCATCATGTAGTAAAATCTAGATGAAAATATATAAGCATAATAATAGGGGAAGGCATCCCCTCACTGTGTCCAAATATGGCCTTGAACTTCTGATCCTCCTACCTCCACTTCCTAAACCCTAGGACTATAAGCTTGCACCACCACATCAGTTTGATTTGGTACTTGGAATCAACCTAGGGCTTTGTGCATGGTAGGCATGCACTCTATGAACTGAGCATTCTCAGTCCCTGGCATTTACATGGGTCCTGGGGATCCAAAATCCAGTCTTTATGTTTATCAACCAAGTACTTTATCTACCAAGCCATCTCCCCTGGCCCTTTGATTTCCTTTTTTTTTTTAATTTTTATTATTTTTTAAATTTTATGTGTATGGGTATATTGCCTGCATGTATGTAAGTGCGCCCACGTCATGAAATGACCACGTAGGTCAGAAGAGGGAGTCAGATTCCCTTAGGAACTGGAGTTACGGATAGTTGTTAGCGACCATGTGGGTGCTGGGAATTGAGCCTGGCTCCCACTGAGCCACCTCCTGAACTTCCCCAAATCTTTTCTTATACCACAAATTATTAATTTTATATTCTTTTAAATTAAAAAAATTATTATTGTTTGTTTTGGTGCTGGGAATTGAACTCAGAGCCTTGGGGTCATGCTAAGCATGTACTGTACTACTGAGCCACAACCTCATTTACTATTTATGTGTGAGGGCTAATACATGTGTGTGCAGGTACATATGCATGGGAAGACCAGAGGTCAGTCTTGGTTATCGTTCCTCCGCAGCCATTCACCTTGCTTTTTAAACAGAGTCTCTCATTGACCTGAACTCACCAAGTAGGCTAGGCTGGTTGGCCAGTGAGCCCAAGATCCTTGTCTCCATTTCCTTAGTGCTGGGATTATAAGTGAGCCTCATCAGGCCTGGCTTTCTTTTCTCTTGGTTCTGGGTATTGAACTCAAGTCCTCAGGCTTCCAAGGCAAGCACTTTACTGAGCTACACCCCAGCCTCAGTGTTTTTTTTTTTTTTATACCGCTGTTATATCTCTTAGAGCCGAACTTATTTCTCACTCACTGCCCCCCACAAGATGCATTTATATTTTTCAAATTTTTCTTCAAAATATGGAAGTTGACATTAAAATTTTTTTAACAACTAAAAATATGTAAATGATTTCAGTTTCTTAGCCGAAACTCTATAAAATCACCCTCAAGTGGCCTGTCAAGCTAGTTCCCAGTCCAAGCCCACCAGGCTTCAGCTTACCAGCTGATGTGCTCTGTGCAGATGCGTGCCTCTCACACTTCCATTCCCCTCTGCCGTTGCCCGTGCAGAGGCACTGCAGCAGGTTTCCACGGTTGTCCTTCTTGCTCCAGGTGTCTCCAATTCTGTAGGATGTCCTCGTGTCCTGGTCATTGCATCTGTCTGTTTGGGAAGAGAAGTGTTCGAATATGTTAATCAGGTTGAACTTGGCAAGTGGTCATTTCAAACCTAAGAAAGGAATATCATAGTTTAATCTAGTAAGTGAGCTTTGGGTAATGTTTATGCTCTGTACTGGTGCTGCAGAGATTAATTTTTAGACAGATGGGATTACATTTTTTTACTTGTAAAGGTGTTCTGTCACCCAGTCCAGCACCACCTCTCTCTTTGCTGAAAATACTTTAGTGTTTTTCATGAAACTAATAATACTTTTTACATTGTTTCTTTGATCAAATTCATTCTCTGCCATCGGACTATTCTTTTTCCTTCAAAGTCTCTCCCAGGCTTTCTCCTAGTAATTCTTGGAATATGGCCCTCTTTTCAATAGGAAACTTTCTTTATAACACTTCAAACAATAGAGAGGTATGCAGGTCTCAGGGGATCTTTGCCAATTGCTTCAAGGAAGCTATAAAATAATAGCAACACACCTTTCTTCACTTGTTATGTAAACACTTTCTGTAGCCTATCAATTTCTTTGGGCAAAATGTTCAGCTTTCTTAACCTACTCCAAAATACCTATTTTTAAAAGTCATTAACAAAGGCACCCAACACCTGGGAGGTGGGGGCAGGAACATCGGGAGTTTCAAGGTAATTCTCAGCTACAGATTGAGTTCTAGGCCAGCCTGGGCTACATGAAACACTGTCTTTAAAAAAAAATGAAGTAAATAAAAATCATCAACAAAATGGCCTCTTTTGATGATCTCATAGTTAAAATCCTTCAAAGGATTTTACTAGTGCTGTAAAGAAGTTGGCCTCAAATGTCCTTACTGTCCCTTCTGAGATTGGCTTGAAGCCTTAATTGCTGCCTCAGGTTTCAAGGTTCCTTTTGTAAAGTTTCAAACTTACAACAGCTTTGGAATTTGTTGAAGCATGAATTAAATCAAATCTGAATATCCTGAGCCTAATTATTTATCTACCAAAAATGTTCATCCAAATTCAAATTCTTTGCTAACAAAAAAAATGTCATGCAAAATGATCAAATATTCCTTCAAATTTATTGGTTCATTAGATCTTTTGCACTTAAATTGTAATGGTATTTAGTCTTCCAAGACTTTTGTGGACTATTGTAGCTTAAGACAAATTAGAAAACTAAGTCAGGGCTGCCAAGATGGCTCAGTGGATAAAGGGGCTTGCTGCCAAGCCTGACAACCTGAGTTCAATCACTGGGACCCACATAGTAGGCCAGGACCAACTTCCACAAGGTGTCCAGTGACCTCCAAACTTACATATGTGTGTCCCTCCTCTACACACAAAATAATAAATAATATTATGTTTTTTTAAATCTAATTCAAGCTCTTATCTATTATTTAAAACTCTTCTAGTAGTAAACTAAGAGAAGGTTCTGAAATAAAAGTCATTTATTCCAAGAAAACTTGAAAGCACTCATTTTGTATAAGGTAATCTAAGGAGGGAAATATGAATTGGACAACAGTCATCCTTTAAAGGGTGCTTAGTAGGTCTGAGAGATGAGGAAAGTTTGCATGCATTTATCACCTACAAAGCACAGCTCTAGGAGTTTCAACAGAGACACTGGATCATGGCGACAGTGCTGGGAGGCTAAGGGGTTACAGCAGGGAACTGGGAAGAAAGCCCAACTGCCAATAATTCAACCTCTATTCTTGCGACATGTCTGTTTGTGTTTGCCTACATCAGTCACATTTGTTTACTGGCTCAGCAGTTGGAATAATACCTAATTAACAAAGAAATTAAATCCACAATACATTGTGGCATAAGAGCAAGAATGGTTAATAAAGAGTCCATTTGCCCAATAAATGAACACAGAGATCAAAGATGCTTTAGTTACCAATGATTTTCCATGAATAATCCCACTTTCCTATTAGAGGGGTAGTGAACACTTTATTTTCACCAGATTTTCTTGTTGTGGCTTTGTGAATAAGCAGTATTTAAACTTCAAACATAGAAGGAAACCTAAACCTCTTGTGCCTTTCCTTTCCATGTCAATAGTTTTCCAAGTAAAAAAAAGATTCATTTACATGTTACTTTAATGATTAATTTCCCTTAGTACTTAAAAAATAGCTCAGTGATAATCTTCTAGTCTATGATGACCCATTTAGCATTTGAATAAACACTAAGACTCATTTTAGTAGCTGGCTGCCTAAGACATCATTGAACTGGTGTATTTTTTCTCTCTCTTATTTAGTCTTCTCAGAAAAAGCAAAATATATTGGTTATACAATTTTTCTTGAAATCCTAAAAATCAAAGCATGTTGGTATATTGGCTATCCTCTAAGTAATACAGTACTACAACTCTCTCTCTAGGAATCCAATAAGCAATACCAGGTCTAATCTTTCAACATAAAAAGCTAAAACATACTTCTAGAGGAACAAGTGATACGGCCACTGCCTTCTCCCAGACAAGTACAGTCCACCATCATCCAGCCCTGGTAGGGCTTTTCCCAGGTTTCCCCGACAACGTAGGAAGTCCCAGCCGCATGATCAAAACATTTCTCAGCTGTAGAAAAAATTGGAGGACAAACAGAAAAAAAGTTATTTAAAATTATGCCATCTCCCTGTAATTTAAAGCGTAGCATGTAAGCAAAAATCCAGCCACATTTTTTTAAGTGGCACTCTGTTTAGAGAGGAAGGCACACCCTGCAACTAAGCACATAGTAAGTAGCCAAACTAAAAGAACCTCAAGCCAAGTTGGCAGCAAACTCTGTTCTCTTAATGAGTACATGGACTGCATTTTCAGCCAGTCCCAAGCTTCCCACCAGTATTTTGAGTAAAAAGAATCAGTGTATATACTCTGCAGGTGGTGACATATGCAACATTCCTATCTTTTTAAAATTCATTAATTTACTAAGTGATACCGGGACTGAACCCAGACTCTTATGCTTGCTTAACCACGTGCTCTACCACTGAGTTATATTTCTAACAATTCCAATCTTAATGATGAATGACCAATTATGAATTATGAATGGCCTAAATAAAACAAGAAGAAAGCTGTTTAGAATTTGAATATCTATAAAAGTAAAGACAAAACAAATTTAAAACATACACACTGTCTGATTTGGAGAATGATAAATGGACAGACCCAAAAAGCTTTGGATAATAGAATTCAACTAAGGCTGAGGCCAAAAGAAACTTAATGTTTGTTTCTAAAGAAATTACCAAGGTATGATGGGAGCACATGCCATTTTGAGCTTCAGTCAATGCATTCCAGCAAAGAAATGTGTGCAAAGTGTCATTTTTTTTCCTCTCATATAACTTATGTCTTGACTAAGGAGAAATTCGAGATCAGATGCAAACAAGGGAAATACTTCTTAAATCTTTTCAGCTCTACCTTGTGGTTGTGAAACAAAATTAAGATTTCTACATGCAGTTAGAACTTAAGGATCTGATTTTTTAAAGACTGGGGGTTGGGAGCTGGAGAGATGGCTCAGCAGTTAAGAGCACTGGCTGCTCTTGCAGAGGACCCAGATTCGAGTCCCAGCACCCACATGATGGCTAACAACTGTCTGTAACTCCAGTTTCCAGGGAATCCAACACACTCTTCTGACCTCTGCAGGCATTGCATGACATGGGTGCACTTACACACATGCAGGCAACACTCAAACACATGAAATAAAAATACATAATTTTTTTAAAAGACTGGGGATCATATAGCATTTCATTATTTGAAATCCCCATTTATCTTTACATTGGAATTCAGATCTGTCCACATACAAGTGATTTTGGCTCCATCTAACATTACAGCTCTGCATCCCCCCCCACCCCACCCACATTCTTGTGAGCCACACACCTATGGGTTTGCAGGTCCATTCTCCTTTTCCATTTCCCAGGCACACACATTCTAACATGTAACCGCCAGTCTCATGTGGTCTTCTCCAGGTATCACCAATCTTGTAGGACTGACCACCTTCATGGCAGCGATCTGTTTAATATAAAAGGCAAATATTAGGAGAAAGTGGGGCAGAGAATCAAGGGGGATGGGTGGTCTCATGTTCTACCTGAGGGAGGTACTTATGTTAGCCAAAATAAGGCACAGATCTGGTCACTCTGGATCAGTTCAGTTACATGTTTAAAGAACAAAGGGAAACCACAGAGAAATCAGAATGGCAAAGAAGAGGTCATAAATAATGGTTTCCCAGGGAGATCCCAGGAAATTGGATTCTAAAACAGAAAAAGGCTGCTAGGCCTGGCCTCCTCTCATACAGCAGGCTGAGCCTGAACTACTTCAATGAAAAGGCCACATGGGGCATAACATGGCAATTTCTGGGAGTAGAGACAGCCTGCATTTTACACTCGGACACAAATTTCACTTTGATGGAAAGCAAGTAGACATATTCAGAACTGTGGAAGTCCTGATAATTTTTTAAATTATTAAATCCACAGGCTGAATTGTCTGCAGGACTGTAAACAGTGTGAACCTTTGATTCTTGAGCTTTGCCAAGAAACCTAACATTAAGTGTTGGGAATAAGGACTGTTCATAAGGGATGATTTTGTTCTTTTGGTTAGAGCCTTTAAAAGGACTTACATACAAAGGATGGTTTTGTGCATGGGTGTTTGTTTGTTTTTAATGCCAGATTATTAGAAAATACTGGTACCCCAGTGGGTCATTCTAGAAAGATTGCTTAGCTGCACGAGAGTTCATGGGAGTCAGTTCAGCACTCCATGTGCCTGGGAAACACACCATGCCAATCATTCTGTGTTATCCTTGCAAATAGATCTATTTCCTGGGATAACTTATTCACTATAAAAAAAAAAAAAAAAAAAAAAAACCAGACTGCATGGCAAACAAGAATGGAAACATGGCTGGTTCACTCATCATGAATGCTTCCCAATCACTGCACATGCACATGATCAGTCTGGCTTGGAGAAGCCCAAGTAATTTAAAATAGGTAACTCCCTTAAGCATATTTAAAAAAAAAAAAAACTATTTTAATGTGTATGACTGTTTCTCTGCATGTATGCAAATGCGCTGGTGCATGCAGTGCCCACAAAGGCCAGAAGAGGATGCTAAATCCCCTGGAACTGGAGTTACAGATGGTTGTTAGTCACCATGTGGGTGCTGGGACTAAAACCTGAGTCCTCTGCATAAAGCAGCCAGTGCTCTTAACCACTGAGCCATGGCACAGGCCCTTTAAGCACATCTTATTGAAATGGAACCCAAAAGATCTACCTGGTTCCACTACGTACTCACTCATAAATCTTCGCACTGACTCCTCCACTCTTGGATTCGTCTTCCAGAAGCACAGGGGCTAGCTGGGTGAGCACATAAGATGATGTGGTATTGGGGTAAATCCCAAAGTAAGAAATGCCCCGTTGTGGGTAACAGAAAATGATAGAGAGGGCAAGAGAAATCATGTTTACGATAACCATCAAGTTACACAAAGTCTTCCTTACTTGCAATAGTGCAGCTTATCCTCCCTCGCCCAGCCCCAATGCAGGTGCAGTCCCAGATCATGGAATCCTTAGGGCGCTCGTAAGTGTCACCCACTCGGTAAGTGTTCCCGGTATACTTGTCAAAGCAAGTCTCTTCAGCTGTGGAGGGGAAAAGGCCCTGTGAGCCTCACACACATTAAAGGCTTTTTTAACCTACAAACCCTTCCAAAGGAAACCCCACTTTTCCATTCTACAAGTAGCATGGCTGAAAGTTGGAAGTGAAATGAGCCGTTCGAATTTTAACCTAGGCTCAAACCAGGCCACAGTTCTTGACCTTTGACAAGCTCTCCTTTGTTCTCTAAATTCATTTTTGTAAAGAATTCTCAGGAAAAAGCCACACCAAGAACTATGATCCTCTGACCGGTTGGACTGCAAAGGAGGACTCCAGATTCCAGGCTGACTGGGGAAATCAAACCAAGGTCCACATGAAAAGCAAACAAATCAGATTCCCCATCTTCCAGCAGGCACTGGCCTTTGTTAACCCTAATTATTTTCCTCATACCTCAGGAGTGTGTCCCTGAAGGAACTACTCTAATTCACAGGAAACATCAAGGGGCTTAAAAGTCTGAGATGTGGTTGGTGGTTTTTCATTGAACTGCAGCTAACAAATCACTCTACAACACGGTGCCTCAAAGTGTGTTTTGGCCCATCATCTTAGAGAGTTAAAGGTCTGGGATAACTTTCTAATAAATAAAACTCTTATAAGTTTTCTTTTTAAGGAACACATGCAAAATCTTTCATTTTCTTATCAAAACTTTTGAGAGAATAAAACAAACAGAAGACTCTGGAAACTAGTTAGGAATATATCCCCACTTACGTTCAGGTTTACTCTCACAGTTAAAACCTCGGCTTCCTCCATAGCAGGTACAAACCAAAGCATTGCCTAAGTAGGTGCGCTCCCATTGTTGGTTTATCTGATAATGTTTTCCATTGTCAAAACAACCAGCTGTATAGAATTGAAGCGGAAAGTTATTACATTTCCATCCCTCCCCTTTTTTTTCCAAATTATTCAACTTTGTTAACTGAATTGCTGAGCTTGAGTGTTAAATACAGAAAGATTACTAAAACACAGATATGAAAACAAGCTATTCAAAGACTTAAGCATTACTTATGTAAGTGGATATTTAGATCTTATCTTTTAATTTAGCTAAAAGATATAAAGTGATATCATTTCTATCTGGCCAAGAGACTATTATCAAAGGAGGGGAAACATTTTCAGAGGCAAATAATTGGAATTAATTTTTAAAACACAGAAGAGATTTTGATTCTCTTAACAAAATATAAGGCAAGAAAACTGTTAGCTGGGTGTGGTGGTGACCATGACTATAATCCCAGCAACTCTGAAGGCTGAGGGAGAACTGCCCAAAGGTGAACTCCAGCCTGGACTACATAGGGAATAAGTACCAGGCTAGCCTTGGTTAGTGTAAGACCATCTCAAAACACAGACGTGGGGGGGGGGGTAAGGAGACAGTTTTTAAAGTTCTCTAGCTAAGGTAAAGGGAAGGCATATCTTTGAAAAACTGGAAGAGTAATTCCAGTCTCTGAAGAATTCCAGGAACCCCAAAGCAATTTGAGTCAATTGCAACTTTTATGTTGGTCAGAAACTCCCTAGCCGTTTAGATGTTCTTTTCCCATGCCCATTTAGAAAATATTTAACCAACTATTTAATAACAAAAGAAATAAGGGGCAGGGGGTCCACACTAATCTCAGATGGAAACCTTAGAGGCACATATCACTTTTCTCGTTAAAGGCAAGTTTTGATTCATTCTAGAATGGTGATCTGAGGGTGGAGAATTTGTTAGGGCACCTGGCGGAGGGGGTGGGGGGACCGAGGAGGTCCCTGTCTTGCAATACATTATTTTTTCCTGAACCCCTCCACCCCCAACCAGCCTATTCAAACCTAGAGCCTTTGTGTCCGCAGCAGGATTCTCTCAGTAAAGCGTGCACTCACGTACACGCGTGCGCGCAAAACTTCAGCCCCAACTTCAGCCGGCGCAAGGTCGGACCCATCCTGGTCACTAGCCAGTTGCAGCCTGGCGTTGATACTCACGCTTGCTTTGACTAACAGCCACGGGGGACTGGGGCTGCACAATTTGCTGAGCCTGCCTCTTGCTCTTCGCCGCTTCCGCGCAGCGCACCTCTGTCCCCAGGCATAGGACAGCCAGCAGCAGCAGCCGCCGGGGTCCCGGACCCCTGAGCATCTTGAGTCGCTGGGAGGAGAGTCGCCCTCCCCAGGAGGCAAGTGGCCACCAAGTGTGGTTCCCTTTGCAACCTGCGGAAAAAGTCTCGGGGAACCGAAGAAGGGGAACAGGGGGTGGGGAAGGTGACGGAGAGAGGGACACAAGAACTGGACAGGACCCGAAGTTGTGGCTGCAGGTTCCTTCTTCCCCGCTCGCGCCCGGGGCTCCCTCTCCTCCCCGTGTGCAGCGCGGCGGGTGCGGGCGGTCTAGCCCCAAGAGCCAGGGTTTATATGGGACAGTCCCTTCCCGCCCCCCGCGAGGCCCTGCGAGCCGGGGAGGAGGGACCGACTCGACTCCCCCGCCCCTCCCTCAGCCGCAGCAGCCGCCGACCGTGCGCCGATTGGCCCGAGGTCCAGGTGACGTCACGGGGAACTGTGGGTTCTCCCTGAACAAAAGAGATGCTGATCTCCCGCCAGGACTGGGACTAGGGAACTTTTTTTTTTTTTTTTTTGCCTTTTGGTTTCCTTTGCGGTCGTCAAACTTTTTGCAGTAGGATGGGAGGTAGGGACGGGAAGCCGTAAAGTCTGGGTAGACCGAGGGAAAGGAGGGGCTGGAGCTGAATGGAGCCTGGGTTGGCAAAGCTTACCCCCCTTCCTTTTTTAAAAAAAAATTGGGGGTGTTTGAGAACATTGCGTCACCTCTGAGAAAAGTCTGTGCTTACAGGAGTGTGTTTTGTGGGGAGGGAAAATACCATAAAGTAGCCATCACCTTGTGGTTGTTGGAATCCAGACTTGACTTTTGCAGCCCCGGGGAGGGGAAGCTTCTCCTGGGCACCGACTTGGGACCCCCTTTCTTTGCCTCCACCACATCCTGCTCAGACCCCTGCCCCTCCAAGCGGTACCTGCCAGGTCCGGGGACAGCCGTCTGGGAAAGAGGAGCCAATGGCCCAAGTGGTCCTTGCCCGCGCTTCTGCGAAGCCCGGGGAGTTGTGCGCGCGCTCCGCAGAAGTCTGGAAATGCACAGGAGTTTCAGTGGAGAAAAAGCAACAGTTTCTTTTCTAAAACATGCGACAAAAATTTCCTTTCCTGGGAACAACGTGCGGGTTTCCATCGGAAGGAACGGCGTGAACAGTTTGAGAAGCGGAAAGTGGAAGTGGCCGAGGAAGGAGACAAACCTTCTTGTCTGTGCCACGTTCACTTGTGCCACTACACCCCAAGCAGAGAGCTGGGTGGACTCTGGAAGACAGGGGCGGAGGTGGGCAGAAAGACCCTTCAGTCTCGCCTTCCTTCCTCCAGGCCCTCTAAGTTTATCTGGCATTTTCCTTTTGCAGACCTTAGTGTCATCGCGAAATTCCATCACCCTCCCTCTCCCTCCGCCAGATTTTTTCATATTTCAAGTGATTTTTGCTCCAAGAATGCACAAAGTTTCATTTAAGATTCTCCTGTCTTCCTCTCTACACTCAGAGGGTGGAACGGGATCCCCGGACGTCTCCTGGACATTCAGCAATTTATCACATCGGGCCTTTTTTCAGACATACGCAGCACAGCCGCTTTTGAAGGGCTCCAAAGTCAGAAGCACAGCGTTCAAACCAACAGAACTGCTTCCTCAGGTTAGGTGAGAGGTCGCCTTTGCTTTGAGAACATATTAAAGCTACTAGCAGAATACTTTTATTTCTATAAGGTAATTGTTTTCTCCAAAAGTTCCACCTTCAGTAACTGACACAAGGATAATTTGAACTCTATGCTCTATAAAATCTCCAGCACATTAAAGACAGAAAACTAACATTTGTTTTTATTGGTGTAAGGAACTAAAAAACAAAAACCAAACCCACAGAAAATATCAATTTCCTCTAACTGGTGTGAAATAACTCTTGAGGAATCTGTGACCAACATTCAGAGTTGAAGGAGTGCCATAGATTGCCCCAAATTTAGAACAGTCTGGGTTAGAGATTTTTTGGAATTTCTCATCATGCCTTGACAAAACAGTTTTTTTCTTTCAGATATAAAAGGGCTCCTTGTAAAATAGTAAACTTCTGGGAAGTGCTCCTTCCAGGGGGCAGGGTACCTGGAAATCAGGATGCAAGTGAGATAAACCTACAGTGAGAGGTTTCTGGAAATATGTAGATTCTGGAGGTAGGAAATAAGCGGTTAGAAAAGTATTTTGTCAACCAAAAATATGATAATTTGATATATTTACTGTACTCAAAATACATTAGAATAATATATCTGTGAGAACTTTTGGGGTAGCCCACTTTACATTTCAGAAGAAAGTTTTATAGTTCGGTCCCATACAGATATAACTGGAAAAGTCTCTAATGTCTCATAAGCAAAAATATAAAATTTGACTGACTTTTATAGGAATGCTTAGTTTACTCTTTTTCTGAAAGCCTTAAAAAATTTTGAATATGAAGACATTTTCTTAGTTAACAGCTTGCTACAGTATTCTTTCATGGCCAAAATCTTTTCCAACTCTGTTATCTCTAACTCAGAGGTAATTAAATTGTAAAGGCTTCATTGACTGGTATAATTCCACAGTCACATCTAGTGTCCAAGATTTCATTATGCTTTTTTTAAGAATTCTGAAGAATAAGTAGTTTGATAGTGTGGGTTTTTCCTCACTACACTTCATAACTATGTTTGTTGGAATTGCCCTTGGGTTTCAGAAAAAGAGAGAGAGAGAGAGAGAGAGAGAGAGAGAGAGACCAGAGTTCAGAACAGGAATTAATTAATGCACAGAGGAATCTTATTGGAGTGATGGAAATAATATTCTAAAACTAGATTGTGGTGGTAACTACATAAAGTTTTTAAAAGGTAGAGTTGTACATCTAAAATGGGTAAGTTTAATGGTATACAAATTATACCCCAAAGTTTTTGAAAAAGTAATTTCAAAAGGAACCATTTCTCCTTGTATTACTTTTAGCACCTCCTGATTTCGTTTCAAAGCCTGGCTCCCAAGCTGCAACAACATGCACGAGGCATCCTTGCTTCTTTGTTTCTGTTTTTAAATATTTTAATGTAGTAGTGGGTTTTGTTTTATATCAGCAACTTGTTAGAAAACTTAGTACTTGTATCATGACATGGATGTGGCTGAGACAGCCAATCTTCATGTAGGACCATGCCTTGCTTCTTGCAATTGCCATGGTGACCAGATTTTCCCAGCATTTCTGACAACTTAAAATCTCAATAAGAAAAAAGAGCACATACTTTTGTGCAGGAGCTGTTATTTAGATGTTTTACTATGGGAAGGAGATAATGGGGAATGTGAGCAGTTATAGAATTGAATTAGATTGATTTCTTTTGAGTTGAAGATTAGAAAAGGAGAAGGTTGGTTAGGTGCAAAGATCATTTATCAGACCCACTCATTTAGGATTGAAATTAAAACAATTTAAGGGATAAGTTTTAAGGGGAAGTTTTTGTTTTCTAAGTGAAAAATTAGATTTTTTTTTTTTTTTTTTTTTTGGTCTTTTTGAGACAAGATCTCCCTATGGTCCTAGCTGGCCTGGAACTTGCTACGTAGACCAGGCTGGCCTTGAATTAACAAAGATCCACCTGCCTTTGCCTCACGAGTGCTGGGACTAAAGGTGTGTGCCAACATGCCCAGCTCAAAAATAGATTTCTTTAAGACTAATAAACATGTTATAGGCAGTAATCCAAGTCATCAAATTCCTTGTCTATAGAGGGAGGGGAATCCATGATAAGAAATGACTTCTTGACCTCAAAGGTCACGTTTAGGTGTCAGTGAGCTGTTTTTCAGGGCCTTTATCCGGTTGTTGATATCTTTCACTCCTGCTAGGGGAAGCCTTTGGCTGGGTGACTTTGGACCTTTCAGCCTTAGCAGCCTGTAATATGTTTATAAGTTTCATGGTCTTCTATAGACAGGTTGGATGGAGATAAATATGTTTCCTTTTGTTTCTTATCTTGATTTAATTCTTTTTTTCTTTCATGAAATCTTTCTCTTCTGTTTCCCCTGAAAACAGCTTGCAAAAATGCTACTCACTAAGTGGAGGTGCAGAGAGGAGTAAAGTGCCCCATGAGCCGCCTATGTGTGTAGAATGTGTGCAGTTTGTGTAGGATTGACAGGATGCCAGCAACCAGGGAGAAAATATTTGATAAGAGCTTTAAATTATGCCATGAAAGCTAGCCAGTTTTCATTTAATAAGCATTTTGTTTATATTTTAAGTTACTTTATTTTTTTAATCAGCACTTATAAAGCCCTAATCTACGCCTTTTGCTTTTTAACAGGAGTACTCTTTTCTCATTAAAATGATGTAACTCCCAAAGGCTTTGCAAAGGAGTCTAATTCATCCAGTCAAATGGAAATAACTACTGGGTAGCTGGACCACTTCACCAGAACTATGTCGGAGATGATTTCTACCTCCCGAGACAGGCAGTGCTAGGTTGGGAAGTTTTTATTTCTGTGTGTTGTTGATTTTTTTTTCCAGTTGTTGGCAGCATGATTTTATGTCCAATTTTATTTTATGTTGCAATTTGTTTTGAAAGATTGACTTTTTTAAAAAACTGAAAGATTTTTTTTTAATATTTAAATCATTTTCAGGGTTATTTTTTTCTTTTACAATCACATACTTTAAACTTCTCATGAGTAATTAGGAAGGTTGAATCAGATGCTTAAAAATGACCATGGATATTATGCTTTAAATAAAGTTTTACATTAATAATAGACTGTTGTAATAGAGGTGCCATAGTTAATCTTTGTGTCTAATTAATAGTAATAAACTAAGGACATAGGCAACTGAATTTAAAAATAAAGACAAAAATATAGCATTCCCAAAATTTACAGTGAATCATTTTTAGATGAATTTAATATATTCTTTCATTAGCTATGACAATTTTATTAGCACAGGACAGACATTTTAGAAAATCACTATTTTGGGACTGGAGAGATGGCTCAGCAATTAAGAGCACTGGCTGCTCTTCCAGAGGACTTAGGTTCAATTCCCAGCACCCACATGGCAGCTAACAACTGTCTGTAACTCCAGTTCCAAGGGAATCCAATGCATTCTTCTGACCTTGGGCATTGCACAACATAGGTGCACTTACATACATGTAGACGTTACACACATACACATAAAATAAAAACAATAAATAAAATATTAAAAAATGGCAGGTGTGATGGCTCATGCCTTTAATCCCAGCACTAGGGTGGCAGAGAGGCAGCCAGGTCTCTGTGAGTTCAAAGCCAGCCTGGTCTACACAGCACGTTCCAGGCCAGCTGGGGCTACAAGGAGACGCTGTCTCAAAAAGACCAATAAATAAATAAATAAATAAATAAATAAATAAATAAATAAATAAATAAATAAAATCACTACTTTTTATAATCGTCATTCACATAGCAATAGGTAACAAATACATTTGTCATACATAAGCAATGAAATGTATGTTCACCAGTGGAGAAAATTATAGTGAATTAATGCAATGAAATCTTTTCAATAATAACTCTATGATACACACAAATGAAAGGAAAACTAAAACATACAATGCCACTCTAACTGCTTAATATTAAGTCAGAAACTACCAGGAAATTTTTTTTAAAGTATTTTTGAGATCTTATAAAACTAGATATGTTGCTTTTATAATAAGGAGAAAATGTCTTTCTTCTTTTTTCATAAAAGCAGAAAACCTTGGGGCAAAAAAGATGGCTCAGCAGTTAAGAGCACTGGCTGCTCTTACATAAGACCCAGGCTCAGTTTCCAGCACTCACGTGGGGATTAATAACCATCTGTAACTTCAACTCCATGAGATCCAACACCTTTTTCTAACCTTTGTGGGTATTGCATGCCCAAGGTACACTCACATACATGCAGGTACAACATTCATACACTTAATTAATTAATTAATTAATTTTTTAGAAAGAAACCTTCATAAGGAAAGTGATAAGCTTCCCTGGGCATCGGGAAAAATAATTACAGTAATAAGAACTGATACTGATGCTGTAGGTGAGAAAAGAGGACGGTCTGGGTGACGGAAGACAATCACACTGATAAGGCCTGCTGTGAAACCCTATGAAAGGTGTCAGGAAAGAAGTAGACAAAAGGTGCCTAACTTACTGTCTTCCTGCTGTTTCTTAATCTCACTGGTCCCAGGCTATATCATGGATCATGGAGAGATGGAGAGAAAGCGTCTAAATGAAAAAAAGAAGTAAGGGGTCAAATAAAATGGGATTGGGGTAATAAGGCAAAGAATGGCAAACAGGTGGCCAAGGCAGTGTGATGTGAAACCCAGGCTCAAAACCAGTGCAGACTGATGTAAGCACACAGGTCTTCCTGTGGAGTCATGCGTGCTGCAGATACTGCAAGGAAACAGGTGTGTGACCTTTGCTGTAACAGGCCATGATCTTTCTAGAACTGATCAAAATCCTTAAAAATATTCACAGCATGCTGTCAGCAGTCTAGCTGGGTCTTTTGTCTATCTATGATCTTGCTTTAGGAAGTGGGGTGGCCCCAGTGTCCAAAAGCTCCAGCTTTGAAGCTCTAGCTCCACTCCATTTGCGGTGCTTCCTTTCCTCTGTTCTAACTCCTGATATGTGTTGAGAGAGACACTTTTTTGTTCCCTGCATCATTTTCCCTTGGTTTGTTCAGCTGAGTGCTTCCTTAACAGTATTTTAACCTTGACTGGAAGGCTGCAAAGGGGCTGCCTGGAGTGACACCCAGTGGTGATAATGAGACTTGAAGGCAGCTTCCCAGAGGCTTCCCAGAGGCAACTACGGCTGAGCCTTTCCCATGACTGCCTTCAAAGCTCTCTTTCAGAGCTTGTCTCCCCACATGTCCTGGAAGCTATGCTTTTATTTCCAAAGAGGAGCCATGCTGTTAGCCTCTGTTTAAGGACTTTGAGTGTGGAATCCAGCTTTTTTTTTTCAAAAAAGGAACTCTTTTTCAGTTGTTAATTTACCCCTAGATAGAATTCAAATCAAATTTAATTTATCTCTAGGGATAGGGTGGGGTGAGAGATAATAATAAAAAGAAAAAGCTGAGGATATCACATAGATTAGAACTTCCACCAGCTTGTTCTCCCAGCAGGCTCCAGCCCTCAAGATCTCCTTCCCAGTAATGGTGGTCCCAGAGTGACAAATCTTTATTTATTTATTTTTAATTTTATGTGTATGAACACTTTGCCTGCCTCCATAATGGTAAATGTACCCACCTCATGCAATATCCACAAGAGCCAGAAAAGGGTGTTGGATCCCCTGGAACTAGAATTGCAGTTACCATTGTGAAACACCATGTAAGTGCACAGAATTGAACCCAGGGCCTCTGCCAGAACAGCCAGTGCTCTTAACCACTGAGCCATCTCTCCAGTCCTGTGACAAAATTTTTTGATTTCTAATTCTTGTGGGCCTTAATAGCCCTTGTAAACACGTCTTCCCCCAAAATCTTCTGATTATAAAAACGATTTGAATTCTGTTTCTTGCTGAAGCCTTTAGGATCCAAATTCTAAAAGTCTCTCATCATGACAAGAGCAGTTTAGTAAGGTACAGTTTGAGTTTTACATGGCATCACAATACCTTTAAGGCACATGGATTCTTTTCCAAACCCAGCAACTAATATTTTGCAGTGTTTTCCTCATGTAGCTCCATGTCAGCTGTTCTGTTACAGAAAATAAACCAAGATTTGTCTACTGAGTAATTTGGTTCATGCAAAAAAGTTGGAGTCAGCAGCCCTATGACATCAGAGTTTATCTTTAAAAGTACTTCATAAATATACAAATGTTGCTGGGCGTGGTGGCACACACCTTTAATCCCCCACACACTCGGGAGGCAGAGGCAGGCAGATCCCTGTGAGTTCAAGGCCAGCCTGGTCTACATAGTGAGTTCCAGGACAGCTGGGGCTACAGGGAGACCCTGTCTCAAAAAAGACCAAAAAAAAAAAAAAAATCTACAAATGTCATATACATAGAATGAAAGATTTTTGCATATTTTCAAAGCATCGTGCAATACTTACAACATAATGTAGTATTTAGGAACACAGTTTTTCCATAATACTTTGAAACTTCTCACAGTGTTTTGGAGACTTTTCAACTTGTATTACTCATTTTTTTGAAAACTAGAGAACATTCATTTATGTTGAGGTTCAGTTGGAATTCAAATGTAACTGCAACGTCTTTGTTAGTTATCTGTGAGCCATAATTTCTGTAATTTCTGTGTAGTTCATCTTAAAGATATTTTGATAACTTAGCCTCTTTTGCAAAGTATTAATATTTCTGTCAGTTTATATAACATTGTGAAAGATTCCTGATGCTTTACCAATTTAAACATTAAGTTAATCTGCCTATTTTTTTTTTTTATCCAGGCAACGTTTGATGCAAAATAACACAAATATTGTGAACCCAAATGATTAACCCATTTCGGTTTAGGAGAGCAGTGTGAAGTAAACACAGTATGGAATTCTAATTAGGGTATAACTCTGCTCTGATTTTTGTCTTCTCTAAATAACTGAGTTTTCAATTTAGGCCACCAAAATCATAAATTGGAAGATTATTTTCCTTTGGAAATGAAAATCTTTCTCTGTGGGGGACTGAAGAGATGGCTCAGCGCTTAAGAGGATGCTCTTGCAGAGGATCCGGGTTCAATTCCCCCCACCCACATGGCAGCTAACAATTGTCTGTCTGTAACTCCAGTTCCAGGGGATCCAACGCCCTCTTCTGACTCCATGAGCATTGCATGATACAGGTGCACTTACAGACATGCAGGCAATACACTCATACACATAAAAATAATAAAATATTTTTAAAAAAGAAAATCTCTTCTGTCTCAAATGTGGGTTTTAATTTTGAACTAATTAAAATTGCTTAAAGTTACAACTTAATTGACTCAGATAGTTCAGCAAAGTGTGGTTCTGGCTCTTATTTAGAGGGTAAATCATTTAGAGGAAACATAATTAGAGCATTAACAGATTTTTAAAAATGCTTTATTGTTTTCTCTAAAATATTTCCTTCAGATTTTAACTTTTGTGAAGTATAATACCACATAATAAACTGTATGCTCTTGGGGACTTTGGTAAGTCTTAACATATGTGTACACCCAGAAATAGGTCATCGCCAGAATACAGTGAGTGTCTATCATGCCCCAAAGTGCTTTCCTGCCCCTTGGTGTCCCTTCCCTCCTGCCTTTCCTGTCCCAACAACCATAAGTCTGCTTCCTGTCACTATGGGTTAGTTTATATTTTCTAGAGTTTTATATACTCATTTGTATCAGGCTTTCACTCTGGACAGTTATTTGAGACTCATCTCTTTTTCTTGTACGAATTTTCTTTCTTTTCTTGGGTAAATATCTAGGGATGAAAGGTTTAAATCATACACTAGGGGAATTTTTAGCATTTGAAGACAATACCTGTTCTCCTCCTCATGTTGTTGTTTCGCTCTGCCTCCCTACCAGTTCCCTGAGATCCTGTCAGTACAGTATGGTTGTTCCATGTACAATAACAAATTTGTTCCATCCCCCTCCATGTTAGCAGTCACTGAGGTCTTTCAGTGAGTTTTCAGTCATTTAAATACACTACTCAATAATTTGAAAATGTGTTATCCTTTTTTTGATTTCGTACTTCAGTTGTAACTATATTGTGAATTTTTATTTTTATTACATTTATTTGTCTGTATACATATGCATGTGGGCCCACATGTGCCATGACACATATATAGAGGTCAGTGAA